GTGCAAGTGTCCTTCCACCCCATCTCCTCCAACAGATTGCACCCCCCCATCATCCCACACCCTCTTATCTTCAATCTCCCTCTCCTGGCTCCTTCCCTACTGCCTACAAGCATGCCCTTGTCTCCCCCATCTTCACAAATGCCTCCCTTGATCCTTCCATCCCTCACTCACATATCTCTTCTGCCCTTGTGACTAAACTCCTAGAAAAGGTCCCCTACAATCGGTGCCACCACCTTCTCTCCTCTTTTAACTCCTTCACCCCACCCCCCTTTTAATCTGGCCTCCACCCTTGTCATCCCACTGAAACTGCTCACCAATGGTCTTAGCGGCCGGATCCCATGGCCTCTTGTCATTGCCCATTCTCCTTGACCTCTCTGCAGCCTTGGACACTGTTGGATCCAGACACCCAATTCTCTCCTGGTTCCCCTCCTACCTATTTTGAATGTTTCTTCTCAGTCTCCTTTGCTGGATCCTCTCCCAGATCATGCCCTCAAATCACAGGGGACCCTCAGGGTTCTATCCTGGGCCCCCTTCTCTTCTCCCTCTACATAAATTCATTTCGTCACATCCTATGGATTTAATTATCATCTCTATGCTGACGATTCTTAAATCTACCTTTTCTACTTCAATTTCTCTGCTGACCTCTAATCTGACATCTTCAGCTGCCTTTCAGACACCTCAAACTGGATGTCCCATAGAGAGCTTAAACTCACTATTTCCAAAACAGAACTCGCTCTCTTTCCCCTTAAGCTCCCCCCTCCTCCTACCTTCTCTATTACCATAGTGGGCAACCCCATCCTCCCAGACCTTCAGGCTCCCAACCTAGGAGCTGCAGATTCCTCACTATCTCCTACTCCCCATGTCCAACATGGCTCCACGGCCTGTCAATTTCACCTTCGCAGCCTTTCTGGACCAGCCTCTGCCTCTTCTCCTCTAGCACTGCCCCCCCCAGACTGTGGCAATGGCCTACCAGTGGAGCTGCCTGCCTCAAGTCTCTTGCTGCTCCAATTCAGCCTCCATTCAGCTGCTCAAGTCTGATCATGTTACCCCCTACTCAACAAAACTCCCGTGGCTCCCTATCACCTCCAGGAGCAAACACAAAATGCTTTGGCATTGAAAACCCTTCATAACCCAGCCCCCTCCTACCTTTCCAGTCTTCTCATGTCTTCCTCCCCAACATGTACTCTTCCATAGAGCGACACTGGCCTCCTAGCTAGCAGGAACAAGACTGCCCATTTCTTGGCTCTGGTCATTCTCTCCGATTGTCCCCCCTGCCTGGAGTCCTCTCCCCTGTCCCCTACTACTGACCTCCCTGGCTCTTTTAAGTCCCAACTAAAATCAAGCCTTTTAAAGGAAGCCTTCCCCAATCCTTCTTAATTCCAGTGCCTTCCCTCCATTAATTACTTATTTATCCTACAAATAGTTTGATATATATGTACATATATACACACGTATACACACATATACATACATGTATACATGTTCACATGTTGTCCTTCCCATTGGATTGTAAACTCCTGAAGGGCCAGGATTGTCTTTTACCTCCTTTTGTATCACTAGGGCTTAGCACAGTGCCTGGCACACAGTAGGTACTCAATAAATGTTTACTGAGTACTGTTAGGTCTTAACTTCTGCATCTGTAAAACAAGGGGGTGGATGAGATGGCCCCTCAGGTCCCTTCTGCCTCCACCCAATGACCCTTTGATCTATGAAAGGGCAGACGGCTCCAGTGTGGCCAACTGGGCCAAAGAACAGACATGGGGATGTTGTGCTTGCCCATTACAGCTTAGAGCACCAAGCCCTGAGTGTCCCTCAGCAACGGCCACAGAGACAGCTTCCAAGTCTGTCTCTTCATTCTCTCCTGGTACAGCTCATTAAAGATTTGTTCTGGGCCACAACAAAGGGACTTTTCCAATTTCCCCAAGACTCGGGCCAGAAATAGCAAGAAGGGACAGGCCCTCTGGGGAAGGTCGTGTCCCATGCCATCGATCCTCCGCAGCACATGCAGGGGCCCTTCCTTCCCCCTTCCCACTGGACCTCCTCCTGGCAGAGCACACCAGGGGAGGCTGGGGCACAGAGTGCGTACTTCTGCTCCTCACTAGTCTCCAAACCCCTGGGCATGTTGCTGAAGGAACTCTTATTCAGGTACGGTCGTGACGATAGCTAGCATGTTTAATTACTTAATTATATTAACTGCCAAATTCACGTTACCTCACTTGATTCTAACAACCCTGGGTGGCAGGTGCTCAGGCCCCATTCTCTCTTCTACAGATGAGGAAACTGAGGCAGGCAGAAATGAACTGACCTGCCAGGGGGCACACAGCCAGGAAGTATCTGAGGCAGGATTCAAACTCAGGTCTTCTAGGCTCCTTTCTCAGTGTGCCACATACCTGCTGCCTCACAGGTATGATTAGACCAGCAAGTTCCTGAGTCCCGTCCAGTGCTGTGATTCTGTCCTTGTTCTATCCATTCATCCAACACTAATCCACTGACTTTAAGAACATTTTCCAACTAAATCAATCAGTCAGAACTCACTGTGAACAGGGCCTGTACACCGCCAGGAAATCAAAGCCAGTGTTAGAGTCCTGGAGAGACGCTAGCCCTTTGCTAGCCCTGCCCCGGCAGAGAGCAGAGACAAAGAGATAGGAGAGAGGAGGCAGAGAAAAAGAGGGGAGGGAGGGAGGGAGAGAAGAGAGACAGGAGACAGAGAAGAGATGGGGGAGGCAGATGGAGAGAAAACAGAGACAGAGGTGACCATTCGGTCCCAATGGACCAATAAAGAGTCCCCCACTACAATACTCAATGCTCATTCTTTCTAAACCCCTCCCTCCCACGATCTGGCCCATTTCTGCGGCAGGCACCACTGTTCTTCTGGGTGCCCAGGTTCCCTCAGTGGTCTCTTCGAGTCCTTCCAGCCCAGTCAGGAAGGATGGAGAGCATAGGCTCCCCACGGCAGTGGCAGGGCAAGTGCGCCAAGGCGACATCACGGTGGACCTGCCCCCAGGGGCCACCACCATCCGAGGGAAGGAGAGGAGCCCCTTCCTTTCTCTGCAGTCCTCTCCCACCCGGTGATGCTGGCCTCTGGGCCATGTCCATCTCTCAGTGCTGGGCATTCTCCCTGACCATCCCCCAGGCCTGGACCGCTCTTCCTCCTCCGCTTTGACTCCCTCAAGTTCCAACTGACATCCCACCTCCTACAGGAAGCCCTCCCCTGCCCTCTGAATTCCAAGGCCTTCCTTCTCTTTACCTTCTATCGATCCTGTAGCTAGCTGCCTCGTCTCCCCCATTAGACTGTAAGCTCCTTGAAGGCAGGTGTCTTTGGCCTTCTTCTGTATCCCCAGTATTTAGCACAGTGCTTGGCACGTAGTAGGTGTTTAATCAGTGCCTCCTGATTGAAGGTCCCGGGGTTCCTGACCCAGGCCTGCCACACTGCGGACCTGGACAGGTCCATGTTCTCTGGCCTGTTTCTACCTCAACAAAACGAGACGGCTGAATGGCGTCCCGGCAACACAAGACTGCTGCACGTGACAAATGGAGGCTGAGTGACAAAGCCCCACTGCTAGTGAGTGTCTGAGGCAGAATTTGAACTCAGGTCTTCCTGACTCCCAGCCTAGCCCTCTCTAGAGGCCTGTGCAGGGAATGGACTTGTCCGAAGGCCACAATCAAGCACTGCCTGGGGGAGCAGATCTCCAAGGCCATCGCACAAACAAGAAGAGTTCTCTACTACAGCCCTATCAAAGGAGTCTCCAGGGTCCCTCCAGGGTTGGGGAGCTCACCACCTACGAGCCAGACTGTGCACCTGGTGGACAGCCTCAATTGTGTCTCCACTGCTCCCTGGGGTCGCACAGGTCCATTCTTTCCCAGTGACTTCAGGTCTGTGACCAGGTCCCTTAAGCCTTTCCTTCTCCATAGTGAACGCTCCCAGGACCTCTGACAGCCATCCCTGCACATCCGGTCGCCAGCTGGACACCTATCTCCCTGCCCCTCTTCTCGTCCTTACTCCCCCATCCGTCCAGGGCACCAGCATTCTTCCATCTGGGGTTGTAACCCACAGCCTCCTCCTCACTCCTGGCCCCGGGGCCAACGCTTGGCCACTCTCCTGTCTCTCGGGCACCGCTCTGCCCTTTCCCTTTGCTCACACCCACCAAGGCGGCGCCCACGACGTCACAGCTAGCCCTGCCCCGGCCACATCCCCTTCCCTTCCTGCCTTCAGCCCAACTAGCTTCCTTGCTCTTCCTGGTACCCAACACTGCCCTTCCCGTGTCTGGGTGAGCTGTTCCCCAAGCCTGAGAGACCCTCCTCCTCCTCCTAGACTCTGCCCCATTCTCCCTTCTGCTGCAGTGACTGGAATGGAAAGTCCCGGGGCATGGCCTGTCTCTCCTTGCTCTCTGCACACAGCTGGCATTTAACAGATGCACTGCCCCCTGGGCTGCCCTCCTCCAGACCGCGAACACCTTGCACCCAACGCTCCAGGCCTCTCGTGTCCTCGTCCGTGGGCCAGGGGCTGCTTTCTCTTTCTCTTGGCTGCCGTATCATGATGAGGCTTCCGTGTTGTGAGCCATCGGCTACAATTACCAAAGCTTTTTCAAACAGCTGCCCCACGTCGCTCTCCCATTTTCTACTTGAAAATTTGTTTTTCAAAAGCCCAAGTTTCAGACTTTATGAAATCTTCTGAGACCCTCTCAGCCAATGGCAGCAATCCCTCCAAATGGCATGAGGCTGCCTTGTGCCTCGGGTGAAGGGCCCTGTCCTTGGCCGACGCAGCCCTCCTGGACACAGACCAGAAAGGGAAGAGTTTGGAATCCGAACCCAGACCTTCTGACCCCAAACTGGGGCCACGCACTTAGGCCTGAGGGGCCAGGGCAGGGATGGGCCTTCCGATGGGCCTTTGTGCCACAGTCAGGCTGAGGCCTCCAGCTCTGCTACGCTCCCCCATACCCCCTCCTACACCTGACCTTTCCCTCAGAGGCCTGAGACGGGGCGTGACTCTGAACTTGGCCTTTTACACACAGCTTCAATGATTTTATTGTGTTCTTGGCTTCAAATCCTATTTTGGGGCGGGGTGGGGGGCAGGCATCTGCTCCCAGCCTGTGAGGACAGGCCAAGGGTGACTGTCCACCTGTCCTGGCCCGTCCTCCCGGGTACAGCCAAGTCTGGCCCTTGGCCTCTGGCCTCCACCACCAGCGTCCAGTCCCCTTCCGGCCCCTGCGTCCCGGCCTTCTCTTCTCAGGCCCTTTCTCCCCCTCCCTCCTTGTCAGCCCCAACATCCGGGGCTCTCTCCTCGCCTCCTGAGAGCGGCCCGATCTGGGGGCCGGGGTGGCAGGAGGAGGAGAAGGGAGCGGCCTGTGACGGCCCACGGCCAGGTGGGCAGCCAGCACTCTATCCCACGGGCCACGGAGCAAAGGGCCCACCCCCTACCGCGCTGGGGCCAGGAGGGGCCGGGGGCCTCCCGTGGGTGCGCTGGTGGCGCAGCACGTGCTCCCGCCGCCCAAAGCCCTTGCCGCACTGCCAGCAGGCGTAAGGCCGCGCCCCGGAGTGCGTCTTGTGATGCCTCACCAGGTGCTCCCGCCAGTAGAAGGTCTTGCCACAGTCGCGGCAGGCGTGGGGCTTCTCTCGGGCCGGGCGGGGAGCTGCGCACAGGCCCAGGGGGGGCGTGGGTCCGGTCCCTGGGGGCGGGCCGGGGTGGGTGCCCCGGTGCCGTCGCAGGTGCTCCTTGCGGCGGAAGGCCTTCCCGCACTCCGGGCACGCGTGGGGCTTCTCGCCCGAGTGGCTCTGCCGGTGTCTCAGCAAGTGGGCGGGCTTCAGGAAGGCCTTGCCACACTCAAGGCATGACGCGGGCGCAGCCACCACGGCCGCTGCTGGGCCCAGGAAGCAGGGCAGGCAGGAGGGCAGTGACGGCAGGGGCGGGGGGCTGCCAGGCTCCTGCTTGTAGGGGCGGGGCAGCTCCGAGGAGGCTCCGGGGGCTGGGGCAGCATTCACACTCATGCCTCCCGAGGGTGGCTCGCCTCCTGCTGGAGCAGAGACAGGAGTTAGGACAGGGGCATGGAGGGCAGAAGGATGAGGGGCGAGGGCAGAGGAGCCCACGTTACGACGTCACGTAAGGAAGGGACCTGGAACTCAGACACCTAAATGCACCCTTGTACCACCCCCCCCCCCCGCCAGCCTCTGCTCTGAGGTCTGCCCCCGGGTCAAACAGCACCAGGGTGACCCCTGAGAAAACACAGGGGAAACAAAACCACTGAGGAAGAGAAATAAGACCCATCTGAAGAGCCCGGCACGGAGGCACGGAGGTCCAGCGAGCCCCCAAGCCCCTCATGCACAGACAGACGTGTGTACAGGTTTCTGGACATGGCAAATCTGTGACAAAGGCCTGAGGGTCAGGAGCAGGGATGAGATGCTGGCCAGGGATCCGCTGCTCACCTCCAGCTTGGTCTTCCTCTTCTCTGCCACAGAGAAGGACAAAAGTGCTGACCGCCAGGGAGCCCATACCAAGACCAAAAGGGACGGGAAGTTAGAAGACCAAGCAAACTCTGCCCTTGGGGCCAAAACAGCCAGCCTGTGTGCCCAGGGAATCATGGAAAATGAGAGAGGGACGGCAAGGGGAGTGGTACAGGGAGAGGAGACAGGGACAGGAGAGAAGAGAGGGACAGGACAGGAGAGGAGAGAGGGGGGACAGGAGAGGGGAGAGAGGGACGGGGGGGGACAGGAGAGGAGGGAGATGGGGACAGGAGAGGAGAGAAGGACAGGAGAGGAGGAGGGGGCCAGAAGAGGAGAGAGGGGGCCAGGAGAAGAGAGAGAGGGACAGAAAAAGAGAGAGGGACAGGAGAGGAGAGAGGGGGACAGGAGAGGAGAGAGAAGGACAGGAGAGGAGAGAGGGGGACAGGAGAGGAGAGAGAGGGACAGAAGAAGAGAGAGGGACAGGACAGGAGAGGAGAGAGGGGGGACAGGAGAGGAGAGAGAGGGAGACAGGAGAGGAAAGAGAGGGACAGGAGAGGAGAGAGAGGGACAGGAGAGGAGAGAGGGGGACAGGAGAGGAGAGAGGGGGACAGGAGAGGAAAGAGAGGGACAGGAGAAGAGAGAGGGGGACAGGAGAGGAGAGAGGGGGGGACAGAAGAGGAGAGAGAGGGAGACAGGAGGGGAAAGAGAGGGACAGGAGGGGAGAGAGGGACAGGAGAGGAGAGAGAGGGACAGGAGAGGAGGTAGAGGGGGCACCTGGAGGCGAGAGGCAGCACAAGGCAAGCTGCCGGTGATCCTGGCACAGCCGATGCCACAGAAGGGGAGGCAGGGGTGACCGACAGCCGAGGACAGGTCACGTGGAGCAGAGACAAGGGGGATGCCTGGAGCATCTACCCAGGTCTTAGCAAAGCCTGGGTGGAGGCCTCAGGCTACACAGGGGGAGATGGGAGAGATGGGAAGAGGGCCTGGGCTCGTCCTGCTTCTCCCCCACCTTCCCAACCACCGTCCAGGGCAACACCACGCCTCCTCACTTGCTCTCATGCCCAGATCCAACCTGGTGCCGAGGTCTGTGCCACCTCTCCAATGTGCCCCTGCCTCCGGCCTGGTGCAGCCTCATGCCCTCACAGCTGGACTACTGCGAGAGCTGCTGGGGGGCCTGCCTGCCTCAGGCCTCTCCCCCAGGTCCACCCTAAGGCCCCCGTCTGACCATGTCACCGCCCTCCCCACTGCCCCCAGTGGCTCCCCGACATCCAGGAGCCAAGCCATGCTCAGAGCCCTCCCTAAGCTGCCTCTCCCCACCTTTCGTCTTCTTACCCTGACTCCCTGCCATGGACCCAATCTGGGCCAGCCAGGCTGTTCCACGAATGAGACCCTCCATCTCCCAGCCTGGCGTTTTCTCTGGCTGTTCCCCAGGCGGAGAAGGCTCTCCCTCCCCTCCCCCCACCTGCTGGCTTCTTTCCCATCCCAGATAAAGTCCTGCCTTCCTCAACCCGCCTTGACCTTCCCTCTCCAATTCCTCTGTCCTAACTCCGTCATACACACAGCATCGGTGCAAAGAGCGCAGGCACTTGGAGGGCAAGGCTTTTTACTTTTGTCTTTGGACTACCAGGCCAGGCCACTCCACAAACACGGCGTGGACTGCGTTTCTTAAACCCAGACATCAATCTGACCTTGTGAGCTTCACCCTGATGCCCTCATCTTTCTGGAAGCTCCCCACGCCCTCCCAGCTTTGGGCCATCTGCAAACGGAAGGAGCGGGGCCGGGACACGGCATGAGGGAAAGGGTCCAGTTTGGGCTTGGAGGCCCCGGGCCCTGGCCTCGGTCTGCCGCCAAACACCTTGGGCAAGCCTGTCTCCATGATGTCTTGCATTCTCCTCACTGCCCACCGAGAGGCCGGAGCCAGGGATGGAGGCGGCGCGTAATAAATGCTGGTCAGCTCACTGACTGCCAGGAAGGGGCCATCTGGTCCAGTCTGCCCCTCCAAGAAGATCCCCACACGGCCTGAGCCCACGACATTGACGGGCACCAGGCTCCTGTTAGGAGTCACTGAGGGCTTGCTAACACAGGCAGGGTTCAGACGGGCCCAGGAAGGGGATCCTGACCACAGGAGCTCCGCAATGGCGGCCTCAGAAGAGCACGACCTCCTTCCTGGAGGTCGCCTGAGCAGAAGCTGGAGGTGATGCAGCAGATCGGGGAGGGCCCTGAGAGTTAGGCGGGGTTCAGGTCTGGGGCTGCACGCGGCATGGAGGGTGAGGTGGTGTCAGGACCAGTGACACAAGCTTCCCATTAGGAAGGACGACTGTCCGTGGCTGAGCCGCGTATGGGGTCAGGGACAGCCGGGGATCTGGGGTTTCTGTTAGGGTAGGAATGGGAAAGGGGACGAAGACGGGCCCAAGGCGAAACCCAGAGTGATGCGGCAGGCCACGGGACCAGGTAGAGCCGGGGAGAGGGTTCTCGCAGAGCCGGGGCTAAGGGTCGGGGCGAGGCGTTCTATCAAGCTTCTCTAAGGGGAAGGTCTGTGTCTGCCTGACCCAAGACGAGGGGCTCTCTGAGGCCCACTTTCCTGCCTCTCCTCTTCTCCAGGTCTCTGCTCCAACCTGCGGAGTGGGGAAGGGGCTGCTTCTCACCTAGTGACATCATCCCGCCATCTTCCTTCCCGGTGGGGACTCCAGCAGCACCCGTCACCTCTCGCTGTCCCCTGAGCTCCTGGGGCTGATCCTGGGATGCCACCGGCCCCTGAAACGGTGGGAGAGCCTGTTTAGTAAGTAGTCCTTCTTTGGCAGAGGGGGAGGTTTCAGACATCAGAAGGGTCAGCTCAGACACTGTTAAAAGGCTCTTAATGACTTACAGCCTTTTTTTTGGGCGGGGGGCGGGGGGCGGGGGGATGATAGGACCAGCTATGAATGACAGAAACCTGGGTCCTAGCCTCAGCAGGTGGATCTAAGCATGAAGACACAGGGCCCTGCTCTCCCCTGGCCCTCCCAGGGAGGGAGCACAAAGTCCCTCATTCTCACTGTGCGGGGAAGGGTGATGGGGCCTTGGCCCTGCAGGCTCAGCTCCAGTGAGATGACAGGCTCGCAGACCGGCACCGTCCCTCACGGATTTCTCGTCTGTCACTGGCCCTCTGAGCACGATGCATTCCAGGCCGGTTTCGACCACTCTGGGACCCAGCCTTTCCTCCCTCCTAGGTCTCTTCCTCCAACCCAGGCAAACGTGCCTGGCCCACCTCATTTCTGGCCCACAATGTCCCAATCTAGAAAATGGGGACACAACCAATCCTCACCCTGGGGTGGAGCCCCTGTGGGGGAGCTGCTGGACAGCCAAAGCTCTCGTTCCCTGGGTCCTGGGCCCTTCCCTGCTCAGGACCCTGGCCCCAGGACTTGCAGCTGAGACCTTTGCTCATCAGAGGGGGAGCCCCCGGAGCGCCGGGACTGCCTCACTTCTTGGCTGGCACCCCCACTGCACCTTCTTTAGCTGGGTGCTGTATCCCGGACTAAGCCCTTCCCACACAGCATCCACGCCAGCCTCCCTGAGCTCCCTTGACCATGGAAGGGGCCTCTGTCTGGGGAAGCATCTTATAAATGGGGCCAGAACCCGTGGGGGGCATAAAGCCCAGCAGCTTTCCCCTCCTCCCCTCCCCAAGGGCTCCCCTAACCTTGTAGCCACACTACACTCTGACCAAAGGACACACTTCTCTCCTCTATGAGACATCTCCTCTTGCCATTTTTAGCTGTCCAGTCTATCCCCAGGTTGGGCTTTGAAGCCTAATTAAAATGCTCTCTTGGGACCCTGGAGGTCAGACAGTCCAACCACAGTGCACTAGCTGTCGAATGTGGCCCAACAGTGGACAATGAGGGTGATGTGGAGACTTCTAAACTGCGAGGAGGGCCCAAGATTACATTTGGGGCAGCGTGGGGGCACGGGGAACGGCGTCTGCACGGAAGCCTCTTTGGTGGGCCTTGTGCAGAAGTGCCTGCTATAGTGAAGGGTTCTCTGGATGAAGTCTGGAGAGATGACAAAGCATTTAGAAGAGAAGGGCCCAGGAGAAGGATGCCTAGAGGGGAAGGTAAATGAGAATGAGGAAGAGCAGGAAGGCATCACGGTCCCCAAGGCACAGAGCACAGAGAAGGAGCCGAGCTCACCTGCGGACTTCCAGCACAAGCACCCAGGCTCCCTTACCTCCCCGGGGGCCGGCAGCACCCTCTGGGAGCCCACTCCAAGCAGAAAAGAAAGGACCCACCCTGTGTCCCAAAGAGACCCTAAAAACGGGAAAAGGACCCATATGCAGAAAAATGTTTATAGCAGCTCTTTCTGTGGTGGCAAAGAACTGGACACTGAGGGCATGTCCATCAACTGGGAAACGGCTGAATGAGTTGTGGTATATGAATGTAACGGAATACTATTGTGCTTTAAGAAATGCTGAGCAGGCGGACTTCAGAAAAACCTGGAAAGACTTGTATGGTCTGAAGCTGAGGGATGTGAGCAGAACCAGAACGTCATCCACAGTAACAGCCACGCTGGGCGATGACTGACCTTGACAGACTTAGCCCTTCTCAGCAATGCAAGGAGCTAAGACATCTCCAAAGGCCTCGTGATGGAAAATGCTATCCACGTCCAGAGAAAGAACCGTGGAGTCTGAATGCAGACAGAAACAGACTATTTGCTCTCCTTTTCCTTCGTTGTTTTGTTTTGCTGTTTCTTTCTCACGGTTCCATCAGTTCTAATTCTTCTTTACATCATGACTAATGGGAAAATATCTTAATAGGAATGTATAAGTAGAGCCTATGTCAGAATGCATGCTGTCTTGGGGAGGGGGAGAAAATTTAAAACTCAAAATCTTATGGAAGTGAATGCTGAAAACTAAAAATAAATAATTAAATAATTGTTAAAAAAAGAAAAGGAAAGAAAGGACCCAGGAGGCAGGAAGGCCCGCTCCGGCAGCCGTGGGCAGTAGCCACAAAGGCCTGTGCTCCAGGCATGAGGAGGGGGCTCAGAGCTGAACCCTGCACGGAGGGAGAACACGGATAAGCTGGCAAGGGGCTGGCCTTGAGCTCACTTCCTGGGCCTCCATCCAATGCCTATGGTGGGCCGGGCCATCCACGCTCTTGGGGGACACCCAGCCCCACCCCCAAGCCTGGAACAGAACCAAGGTTGTGGATCCTACACTTCAGGACGCGGCTGCACCTGCCCTGGCCCTCCAACACTTCGTGCCCAAGGAAGGCGGGAGGAAACACAGACAACATGGGTGGGCATTCTCGCGGAGCCTGGCCTCAGTCCCCCTCCTAGACCGCAGGCCACCCGAGGGGAGAGACCCTGTCTTGTCACTGTCTAACCAGGGCTATCCAAACTCTCATCCTCCATGCAGCAGATGCCAAAGGAATGTTTGTTGGCCTGGCCCCCAAGAAGAGGAAACTAAGACCTGGGGAAGGGAAAGGACTTTGCCAGCAGCCCACTTCTGTCTCTCCAAGAGCCCTTGGGCATTCCCCCCATCCTGACATTTGCCTCAGGGAGGCTGAAGGGACTTTGAGGGCCAAGCCAAACTACTGTTGGACCGAGGGGAGGAGAAGCGTCTTTGCCAAGTTGTCCCGCAGTGAAAGAAGCTGCGCTGTGACTCCAGTCTGGGCCTCCCACCTCCCAGCCCCGCCCAGGCCAGCAGGGGCTCTGGCTGCCACGGCACAGACTACTTCCCAGGACACAGACAGAGAGAGAGCAGCCCAGGAAGGCTGGGAAAGGGCCAAAGCTGTCCAGCAGAAACCGGCCTGCATGCGTCAAGATCACAAAATTCTGAAAATGGAAAGAGAAAGAGATCCCGTCCCTTTCACAGCCCTGGGCCTAACCAGGTGACAAAGAGAAACCAATCAAACCTGAGCATGTGACATCAAACAACTTCTGTGTGCACAGACGGCAGGAAGGCGGGAGGGAAGGAAGTGGGAAAAAATGAGGGCGTCCCACTTCCTGGGCATCCCAGAGAGGCCCCGGAGGCAGGGAGCACACCTCAGCCTCTCTGTCTCTCTCTCAACTGGTCGTCTCTCAAAGTTTTATAATGGAGATGTGTTATCAGAGATGGCTCTCATCCTGGTGATGCAGAAACAAAAGACAGCAACAAAAATTTATTCAAAAAATTTAAAAAGACATGGTCCCTGGCCTCATGGAGCTTCCAGTCCAATGAGGGGCTAAGACCCCCAGGCAGAAAATCCTCCATGCAGGTGCAGGGGACAGCAGCAGCCTGGGGGGAAGGTCACTGCTGGGCCTTCTGTCCAAGAATGGGCATCACTTCCAGCGAAGCTTAACCACAGGGCCAGGGAAGTTCAGCCCCAGGCCAGCTCCGACTAACGAGGGATGGGGAAGGAGGGCGATGGAGGGCGACAAGGGGAGATAAGGCTGCAAAGGCAGAAAGAGGCTGAGGAGAGCCTGGAATGCCAGACATTCAAGAGGAGATGAATGAGGAACCACTGGGGGAGAGAGGACAACCCTGATTAACATGGAGCTGGCCCGGCAGAGAAGCCAAGTGAAAGTAATCAAGCGCTGGCCGCCCCCAGGCTCCAGGGCTGACAGGAAGCGCAGGGACCCCTGCATTCCTGGGGGAGGGGCCCAGGTGCACTCATCACATCAGTGGGGGCAGCAAGGCTGGGAGAGACAGCTCTCGCCCTGGATGACACAATGAGGCCTCGACCCAATGGAGCCAGGCTAGGACAACAAGCCAAGTCTGAACGAGAGAGAAGCCTGGGGCCTGGCTGGAGAACTTGGCACTGACCGGGAGGAGGGCCCCAACGCCCAGCGTCCTTGTCCGGAGGGCTGGGATCAGCTCTGGACAGCAGGGACGAGGGCCCCTCTGGGGGAAGGGCCACAGACACGACGGTCACCTCAGCACAGTGCCTTGCCCACGGTTCAAAGCGGGCCAGAAATCAGGTTAGATCAATCAATCAACAAGCATTTATTACCATGTACTAGGCCCTGGGTGACAGAGAAAAAATGAAATCCACCCTGACCTCCAGCTTCTCTTCTATCAGAGAAAAGATGTGCCTGCCAAGAGGCATCAAGTAAAACCAGACCCCTAGCAAGGCACTATGGGCAGGCATCGTGCAGAGGGGAGCAGCAGGGAAGGCTTCCTGGAGGAGACACCACTGACGCTGAGGCTTAGGAAGCTAGAGATTCTGAGTGGGGGAAGGGGGGACTGAGGGAGGGTGTGTGTGTGTGTGTGTGTGTGTGTGTGTGGGTGAGAGTGAGAGAGAGAGAGAGAGAGAGAGAGAGAGAGAGAGAGAGAACAAGAAGGCCAGGCCACAGCCAGGCCAGGCTCTGGAGCAGTCAGTGCTCTGCTTCAGGAGATGAAGGCCGGGAAATCTGCAGACCTGCAGGACTTGCTCCTAGGTAGAGGCAGGAGGAAGTTCCAGGGGGAGAATGAGGAGAACGCCTCCCACCCACCACGAGTCACCAGAGGCTGTCAGCTCGATGGCCCAGCCCTGGGCTCCTCTCTAAAGGGGAAGCTCAGGGAGGATTTCAATGAAGGATGGAGATTCCACCGAGGGTGGGCCTGCAACCCCGCCCCTCTGCAGGGGCCCTTCTGCCTGGGGCACCTGAGATCTGGGAAAGGGACTGGGTATGATCAGTCAAAAGGAGGCTCCCACCTCTTCAAGAAGAACCCACACACCTAGGGAAGGTGGAGTCTTGGAGGTAAAGGCACCAGGAGGGAGGTGGGGGGAGGGGAGGAAGGGGAGAGGGGGAGGGGGGAGGAAAGGAAGTGGGAAGGGGGAGGGGAAGGCGGGGAGGAGGGCACCCAGGCCCAGCCAAGGACAGAGATCCCAACTTGGTTTCTGTAAGCAGTGCTGAGGATGGCCAGACTCCCCAGGCCGGAGCCCCAGGAATCCTCAGTACGAGATTCAGTTCGAACTCCCAGTCACCCCCTTCTCTATTTTGGGGTGTTGCCTCCTCTTCTAAGGCCTGGGGCTCAGCTGTCTCCCCTAAGAGCCAGAACAGTCACCCCTGTTCAGCACAACACCTTGGGTCAAGGTCCCCCCAGGCGGCTGCCTCCGACGCCGGCATTGGGGTCACTCCAAGGAGAGGAGGCCCACGGCCTCTCAGGGAGTGGTGCGAGGTCTGTGTCCTCCCTCCTGCCCTCTGTCTGTGAAGCAGAAACAGAGCCTGAGCTACTGAAGAGGGCAGGGATGAAGCCGGCTGGCCGACCTGACTAGGCTGGGCAAAAGCCCTGGGACAGCAACGGTTCGTCGGAGTGTCCTGATGAGAAAACTGAGGCACCCAGAGGTAAAGGGACTGGCCCAGTCTGAGGCCAGAGTTGACCCCTGGCCTGCCCTCCCCGCCCCACTGGCTCACCCACAGCTCCTCCAGCAAGCTGACAGCCTCCTCGCCGGTCTCGGGCCTGCGGCCCCGAACCCAGGCCTGGATCTCGGCCGGCAGGGCACTCAGAAACTGCTCCAGCACCAGCAGCTCCAGCATCTGTTCCTTGGTGTGGATCTCAGGGCGCAGCCAGTCCCGGCACAGGGCCCTGAGCAGGCCCAGGGCTTCTCGAGGGCCAGGAGCATCCCCCAGGTGGAAGTGGCGAAAGCGGCACCACGGCGAGTCAGGGGCCAAGGCCTCCCCAGCGCGGGCTTCCTGTTTCACGGGGGCCCCCTGGGGGGGCAGCAGGGGGGGCGTGACCTCCATGGAGGGGCTGCCACTGTCCTGGGCGCAGCAGCTGGATGGAGCCTGGGGGAAGAGGTTGCCCGTTAGTGCCAGGCCCCCGGGGCTGGGCTCAAAAACCTCTTCTTTTTACACTTGAGGAAACTGAGGCCCAAAGGTCACACTTTTCCCCTAGACCTGAGCTCTGGCTCCCCTGTGGTGGGGGCGTCCTCGGCTCTTTCCTTCCCCAGCTCTCCCTCTCATTGGCCTCCCCGCTCAAGGTCCCCCAGCACTCTCAGAGGGGGCCCCTCCCCCACTGCCAGGGGTGTGAGCCTGAAAATCTCAGATCCAGATCAGGAAAGGTCTTGGACCCGGCTGCCCAACCCCCTCATATTACAGATAAGGAAACTGAGGCCCGGGTTCACACAGCTATTAAGTGTGGGGCTAGAAATCGAACCCAAGCTCTCAGTTTCCACTGAGCCTGGGGGGAGGACAGTGCAGATGGAAAAAGAAGAGGGGAGAAGGGAGGCCAGGAGGGAACTGGGGGGCTTCAAGGAAGATCGGAGGAAGGGCAGAGAGGTAGGGAGAAGAGCAGAAGGACGCGGGGCCATGGAAAGGAGGAAGGGCAGGTGGAAGGGAGGGCAGTGAAGGGGGAGGGGCAGAGGAGGGAACCGGGAGAGGCAGAGGGGAAGGGGAAGGGGAGGACTGGGGTGGGGGAGGGGCGAAGAGGGAGAGGTGGAGGGATGATGGGGGAGAGGCAGACACAAGGGGGAGGGGCAGAAGAAGAGAGGTCGGGGCAGAGGGGGAGGGGGAGTAAAGGGGGAGGGGCGGGGGAGACGGGAAGGGTAGCGAAGGGGGAGGGACAGATGGAGGGAAGGGGGAGAGCGTGGGGCGGGGGAGGGGGGAGGGGAGGAGGATCTGGGGTCCAAGAGGCGGGGGGCCCCCCCCCCGCCGCCCCCCCCCCCCCCCCTTTGCCCCCCCCCCCCACCCCCAGGTCGCTCACCGCGGGCACGTCTGTCCGTCCGCCCACTTCCCTCTGAGCCCGCGCCCGACTCGGTGTCGGGGTCCACGCCCGTGCCCGTGCCCGTGCCCGTGTCCGTGTCCGTGTCCACCGCTGGGCCCCCCGCCCGCCCGCGCGCCCCCAAAAGCCCCCTCAAGCTCCCGCACATGCGCACAAGCACACTGAGGACTCCATGTCCCGGCAGCCTTTGCGGCGCAGTGCCATCAGTTCCCCGCGATAACTACACTTCCCAGGAAGCCACGCGCGGCAGCCTGACTCCCCATAGGCCTTCCTTAAGCGAGAGGCGGGGAGCCGTGGAATGCGGAGGAGTACGCAGGCGCGCGACTCGGGGGCCGGGAAAGGCAGGGGGCCGGGAGGCTGGTGAAGGCGCAAGCGCGCGCCGCGGGGCCCGGGAAGGAGGGGCGGTTGCCGTGGAGACCGGAGTGGGAGGGAGGGCGGGGAGGAGGTGGCTCAGCCGGAAGCTGGGGCCCCAGGGTGATAGCGCGGTGGAGGAGAGACGGGAGCGGGGCGGGGCCTGGCCCGGGTCTGGACTAATCCGGAGCAGCGGCGCTCGAAGTCCCAGCCAATTGGAGGCAGGGAGAGTGGTCGTCCTGACTACTACTCCCAATCTGCCCCGCCCCCTCAGGTGGGGGTGGTGACGGAGAAGACCGAGGGGGAGGGGCGGGGAGCCCGGTAGGCCTCGCGACCCTGGGCCTGGTGTCACCCCCATCTTGCCGAGGGCTGGCGAGCAGGGACCGCAGCCCACTCGCTGACCGTGGCCTTCACGGCCCCGCCCGCTCTGTCTCGGGCCCCTTTCCCACCTCCGCGCCTGGACTTGGGGCCTGAGCAGACCTCCGCCCGCCGATCTCTGCCGGGGTTAGAGCCCGAGGTCCTGGCCCGCAAGGCCCTCTGACGGACTGGCCGGCACTCGGGACATGTGAGCGACGATTGGGGTTCCGTCTCCAATCCCCCCAGTTGGGGGCCCTTCCTCGCGTTGTGCCTCAGTTTCCCCTTTTGTCAGATGCAGAGGTTGGACTGGATTATCTCAGTTCTTCCGTCAGCACGCATTTACTTAGCGCCTGTTGTGGGCCAGCCATGTCCTGGATGCTGGGGATAGAGAAAGACCCCCCCCAAAAAGAAAGGCCAGGGAGCTCCCCGCGCTCCTGGGGCACCCCATCCTGACGGGAAGCACGTGGTTCGTGCGGGGTGGGGGGAGGGGAGGGGGGTTAGGAATGGCAGGATTTAAACGGAGCTCCGAAGGAAGCCCGGAGTGGAGAGAGGGAGGGAGGGCCCTCTGTTCTCCCCTGGGTCCTCCTGGAAGGCTGCGGGGCCGGGGGAGGGCCTGGCCCAGGTGGGGGCTGGCCCCAGAGCCCTGCCGTGTGAGAACTGGCCGCGCTGATTGTAGGGAGGGGGAGGGGGAGGGGGCAATGACACATGAGAGCCGGGCCCCAGTAGGTGCCAGGCTGTCCCTAGGAGGAGGAGGAAGAGGGACTAGCTTTGTTCTCCACTCCTCTTCCTGGAGGCTCCCAGGCCATCATGGCTTGGCAGGGGAGCTGGCCAGGGCCATCCGGTTGGGGCGAGCTGAGATGTTGGGATGGGATGGTGGCAGTATAGAGGGAGGTAGGCTGTGGAGCTGGCAGCCACCAGCTGGATGGGCCGGGGGAGGGGCAGGTGGCGATGGGTACACTGAGGCCTGAGCCTGGCCAGGACAAGGATCAGTCATGGAAACCTGGGGCTCGGGAGGGATGGGGCGGGGGCAGTGGATGCCCCTTGTTTTTCCCAGATAACTGAAGTGAGAGAGGAGGGAGACCAGCCGGGGACCTTCCTTTTCACCTTAGGCAGTGGCTGCCTGCCCCCTCATCCTTTCCTTGGGGTTCTATGCCTTGTGGCCAAACCGTCCCCCATCTTCTGGGCCCCATCCATTCCCACCTCCCCAGAAACCCCAAACGAAGAGAACTCCCTTTTCCTGTCATCCTCAGCCCCAGTGGAGGGAAACACTTCTCAGCAGTTAGAGCTAAACGGAACTCCTTTGTTGGAGTGAGCTCCCTGTCGCTGTGCGGTTCCCATGGAGCTAATTAGGTGATAACACAGTCCTCAGAGGCAATGCCCTTTGTCAGGGATTTAGGAGAGGTGCGGTTCCCATGGAGCTCCCTGGCAGATTCTCCATCTCCATCTATCTTGATGGAAACACCTTCCCAGGCCTTGTCTTTGCCTTTCTTTCTTGGCTTAAAGAAGGCCTTTCCCAGCCTGCAAATGGAGCCTTCCTCCCCTGCTCATCATCATCTTCTTGAGTGCCCTGAATTGATTTGAAGTGCGGCAGAGCTGCCCAGAGTCCTCAGCTTCACTCTTTTCTCCGGTCATCAAGTGGCAGGGCAGAAGTCAGAATGGCTGGGATGCAAGGGATGGCCTTGGCATCTTCAGTGACTGACCAAACCCTGAGCGCCGCGAAGCGCCTGCTTCAGCCGCCTTCGTGGCCATTGGAATGGATTGTTCTTATCCACCCATTCTGGGGAGGCCTAGACCCCTCCCCTGACTCGATGACCCTTCAGAGGCCTGGGGGTCACTCTCAGCCTGGTTGAGATGTCTGCGAGAGGGTGCGGCCAACGCATGTGCCCCAGCTTCTTGGAGCCACAGGGGAGAGGTGGCTGGGGTCACACCACAGGTGGATGAGCAGACCTCACACCAGAGGGGGTGTCTTCCTGGACACCACATCCACTGCCCCCAGCCAGCTGCTCAGAACAGGACATAGGCCTCCTTCCTATTTGGTAGCTAAATGATGTGGGACCTGGAAATAGGAAGGCCTGAGTTCAAATCATACCTCAGATACTAGCCATGTGACTCTGGGAATGTTACTTGCCTCCTTCATGCCTCAGTTTCCCCATATGTAAGAGGAGATAACTATAGCACTTCCTTCCCAGGGCTCTTATCCACTGCATGCTCTAGCTGCCGCCTGAATAAAGCCCATTTGGCTGGAAGAAGGCATGAGGGGAAGTAATTATGCCATGTAGTACAACAGAACCAAGGCTGTGAAGATTTTTAAAAGGTAAATCTAGGCACTTGTACTTGGTTCCAGAGGCAAGAGGGAGCTATGGCAGCTTCTTGAGTAGGGTGGTGACACAGTCAACTTTGGAAGCACAACTGTCTGTCCCAGGGGACCTTCCCTCTCAGGCTTCCACCAGAGCCCAGCCATGTGCTGTCCATTCTTGGTACTGTTGCTGTCTGAGGGGTTTAGACCCCTCAAGGACTGGAGTATAGGACGGGATGGTCTGGAATGAATTCACAGGCTCAAGCATTCTTTAAGTCGAGGTGGCAAAGATTTATTGTTATGCTATACAGCGGGCAGGGGTCCTTAAGGAATTCTGCCATGAAGGGCAGAGCTCCTTAGGGAACTTGCAGCCTAACAGGAATGCTGCTAAAGCTTACATAGGAAAAGTAGTGGATTATGTGGCAAGTATGCTAATTAGGTGATAACACGTAACTACTTCATTCACTGCTGGAAAGGGGCAGGGGATGAGAGGGTTGCTAAAGGGTACATTTGTGTTCTGTTATGTCGCTAACAAGATAGTTTCAGGAATTGACGTCTAAAGTTCGACCTCTGCATCATACACGGTAACTGTGGGAATCAGTACAGGATAGTTTTGTTGATACAAGATAGTACAAGGGAAATTCTACAGAGGTCAGCTTGTTCTGGTAACAGGGAGAGATGGTTTGCCTCACTGGGCCCACTCATGAGTCACTGCCAGAGACAGGGTCCTTGGGCTGGAGGGATAGTATTTCTGAGGCCAGGGAGAAATTAGGATCCAAGCACAGGCACCCAAGCACCTCATCAGTACCAAGCCTGGGGCTTCTGAGCTCTTTTCTCCTAGTGCCGTGCCCCCCATCCCCTTCTTCCTTTCTCTGCCCTGAAGGCCTAGCACAGTCCTCAGGCTTCTTTCCTTCAATGCTGGCAGTGCCCAGCAGGGCACCCAGCTCCCTCTCAACTTCCATTCCACTCACCTTTGAACAAATATTTCTTTTTTTAAAATTAATTTATTAGCTTATTTATTTTTAGTTTTCAACATTTGCTTTTATAAGATTTTGAGTTCTAAATTTTCCTCCCCTCCCTCCACTTCACCCTCCCCAAGATGGCATGCAATCTGATATAGGCTATACATGTACAATCATATTAAACGTATTTCCACATTAGTCATGTTGTGAAAGAAAAATCAGAACAAAAGGGGAAAACCCTGAGAAAGAAAAAGCAAAAACAAACAAACAAACAAACAAAAAACGAGCAACAACAAAAAAGACAAAATAGTATGCTTTGATCTGCATTCAGACTCCATAGTTCTTTCTCTGGATGTGGACGGCATTTTCCATCATGAGTCTTTTGGAATTGTCTTAGATCATTGCATTGCTCAGAAGAGCTAATGAATAAATATTTCTTAAGAGAGAGACATTATATAAGAGACTCAAGAGGGAGAGGTGGAGATGAGAGACAAAGAAGGGGGAAAACAAGGAAGAGAGAGGGAGAGAAAGAGAGACAGAGAGACAGAGACATAAAGAATGGGGAGGAGAGGGAGAGATAGAGGCAGATTCCTAAAGAACCTGACTGAGTGGGGGTGGGGTAGAGAGAGAGCACACAGGCATTCTCACTTCAGCAACTGAGTGGAGGATGGATT